AGTCGTCCGCGAGGGGCTGTCGCGCTATTTTGTGTTTATTTTATCATTAAAGTTTCTTTGAATGTTCGCCGGTTCCCGCCTCCTTCTTCCCGTGACTACAAACAACGTTACAGTCACATTTTAGAGAAGAAAGAAATCACCCACTGACTTTCAAAGCTTCTACATTGTAACGACTTTCTACTTCGAGGACCTTGACAGAAATGTAATGTAGTGAAAAGTACAATATTTGTCTTTCAAATGTAGTGAAGTTAAAGTCATAAGTTTCCAGAAAAAATAATACTCAAGTAAAGTACAGATACTCAAAAAGTGTACTTAAGTACAATACTCAAGTAAATGTACTTAGTTACTGTCCGCCTCTGGGTATCACAACATATTCATTCACATTTAAAAATGATATACACTAATAATATTCTGGTGCTTTGAATAATAATAATATAACTGTAATTGGTACAAATAATTATATAATACTTATAAAATAATACAATATTTTAATAAAAATAAACAAATAATATAAAAAGTATTTTTTTATTTTTTTACTTTTACATTGACAATAACGAGCATGACTTAATTTGAATTCGATGTAATTAATAAATTACTTCACAGAAACTTCCTGAAAAATAATACATGTAAATCACATTTTAGTTCTGCTTCATGACATTAAAATATTTTAACAGTGATCTGTCAGTTATTTTATGTAAAGAAAACTTTAAATGCGTTACAGAGAACCACTGACCCTTTTTAAAAGTGTATGTTTAAAAATACTTTCATAATACATAGAATTTTCTTATTTCTGTAAGGAAATCAGTTTGTATTTTTCCTGTAACTTCCTCACAGTCTTTAATGATGGCACAGCGAGGACCTTGGTCGGTTTGACTGGAACCATTGAGGTGTTTTATGAAGGTAAGGTACACCATAAAGATAACTGGCCTTTACTTCTGTTTTACGGTCAAGAAAGAGAGTGTTATTACATATGTATATGAATGCACCGAACAAAACACTTCTACACGTTGTTCTTCAGGGAAACTCTACAATATTCCAGTGAGTTTGTGGCTGACTTATGAAGGCCGTGTTCAGTGAAGTTCCTCCTCTGCATGTGCGTCTTTACCCAGAAGATTGTGAGTATAGTTTCCTTATTCGTTCCTCTTCATATCTGTGTAGAGCAGCTTCACTCCTGAATCCCTTCTCTGTCCTTATTACTTCAAGGAAACAGATAAACATGCAGTTTAGACCTAGTTTAGGTGATTTGAAATATGATAAAGTGTCCAAAGGTTGATGTGATTTTATGTTTTGATTAACTGGAAATGACCATTGTGCACCAACACTGTAAAACAACAGAAAAACATGGCATTTTGATACGGTTGCTGTATTGTTTTGTTGTTGTATTTGTGTGGATATTTAGGTAAAATTAACATTTATGTTTCTTTACAGCAGGTTCTGCTTATCAGAAACGCTCAGTTGAGGAAATCTCACACGTGACGCTGGACAGAGAGGATCTCTTCCTTTCTCCGAACATAATGAAACCGTCCTATAGCTTGCTAGATGTACTGTATACGATTTGATTTTGCAGTTTGTACACAGTTTCTTGTTAAAGTAGACACTTGCATGAAACTGTAAATGTTTGTTTAAACACAATAATAATGAGTGTTAAATTTGAGCAGCACGAATGTAAATACTCAATTTTTATGTACATTATGTAAATATGAAGCAGTGTTTTCCTAGTGATACATAGGCCTACTCAGTTTATTCTCAGTCGATGTTTTTTTTCTCTCATTTATTCATTTTTTGACCTGTATCATATCAAAAATACCTTCCTAAATATGTAAATATTAGTGCTGTCAACAATTAATCGCGATTAATCGCACCCAAAATAAAAGTTTTTGTTTGCATATATGTGTACTGTGTATATTTATTATGTACATATAAATACACACACGTGCATGTATATATTTCAGAAAAATATGCTATTTTTATATATTAAATATATTTATTTATAATATAAATTATATGAATATAAATATAGACATGTAAATACATGTAAATATTTACAAAATGTATACTGTATGTGTGTGGCTTTACACATATATATATATATATATATATATATATACACCGAACACATATATTATGCAAACAAAAACTTTTATTTTGGATGCGATTAATCGCGATTAATCGTTTGACAGCACTAGTAAATTTGCAGATATAAACAGTGGTAAACAAAGATCCCAGATAAATAACAATCACGTCATATTCACTTACATTTTATGAACAAGATTTATATAAATTAAAAAAGACTCTTAAAAAAAAGTTGGATACTTTTAAGTTGTATTCATTACATTGCCAAGTGTTGGTTTTGTCTGTGGAGGTTTATGCATAATAACTGTACGATGTGAACCAACCTTAACTATGAGAATGACAAATAAAAGATGATAAAATAGACCACAGGCATTATATATATTTTAAAACGCATATCATAAAGTATCAATTGTAACGTATGAATGCGTCATTTATTATGTTAAACAGAAACTACTTGCCAGACTTTTATTTTTTAAATCCCAACACACTCCCACCGGAAGTGAAACTGCTGTAGTGAGGCTCGCATCGTTCGTCTTGTTTATCTTCCTCGAGATGAATGCTAGTCGACTTTTCCTACATTTATTGAATTCTCATCAAGTAACTATTATGTGGAGTATGTTAATGAGTTATTAAGGCGTTTAGAGTGTGTTTGTGTCAGACAGCAGGCGTTAATACGACTGTGTAAGGGAGTGGTTTGGCTTGGCCTGTGCTCACACACACTCGTATATTTCACACATTTATTCTTTTATTTCTCAGGAGTTTAGTGTCTTTATTTATATTTGTGTAATAAATCATGGCTGTGGTCAACGAAGGAGCTCTTAAAAAGATGCTGAAGGTCAGTGTCGTGCCTTTTGGTGTTTATTCTTTCATTTGAATAACGTTAGTTGTATTGAGTGGGGAAGAATATAATGAGCATTTGGTATTATAGTGTCAAAATGAAAAATAATCTCATATATATATATATATATACACACTATATATATATATATATATACACACTGTAGACAGGTTATTTGTCTGTGTTTACATACTGAGGTATTTGTCATAGGATTATAGTCAAAATAGTTATGCTAATACTTTATAATAATTTTCATTTTTACACATATAACGCTTAACAGATCATTGTTGAATGTACATTTAAATAATTTTGTGGCATCTTGATTGAATATATTTTCATGCAATTGTGATGAAGACATAAGGGATTATAAATAAGAATTTTAGAATATTAAGAATATTATTTATGTAAAGAAAATAGTTTTTAGCATCAAGATTTTTTTGTATATTTTTATTTTTGTTAATGTAAAAATAATTATAAATGATAAAGTATATTTGTACCATATATTTAAAAAATACAGTGCTGTTTTAGTATTACTTATGCTGTATTATAGTATTAATTAATATTTTTAATTAACTTATTTTTATATTTTCAGTTTTCATTGTAGTTTTTGTTTAAATTTTAGTCATTTTGTTGCATACTTTTGCCATATAGAATTGTTCTTTTTTTTTAAGCTTAGCTTTATCTTAGTTTTTAGTGATTTTATACTTTGACTTCAGCTTATTTATTTTAGTTAGTTGCAAAGGCTAAAATTGTAATTTTTGTTCAAGTTCAGTTTATCTACTGTATTTGGCAGGTTGTCTGTATTTATGGATGTACTAAAATACTGGATTTCGTATGTTTTACCTTTTGAAAGTCAAAATAATTATATTAATATTTTATAATAACGTTAAGAACATAAGCAAACTTTTTTATGTATATAAAAAAACAGATTCTTATCAAATGCACATTTAAATAATTTGATATGTCATGTTGATTCAGTATATTTTCCTACATTTCATTGTGATAAGGCTTTATAATGGAGACAATAGTTTTTGTTGGGGTTATTTATATTAATTTTTTTATATTCCAGCAATACAAATACAAAGATCTCACTGTCCGAGAGATAACAAACGTCATCTCTCAGTACAAAGACCTCAAACCTGTTATGGATGCATACGGTAAGATTCTCTCATCCTATCTGTGTTTCTTTGTGTTTTCCATGAATAACTGATGCTTCCTTCACAGTGTTTAATGACGGATCGTCCAGAGACTTGATGAGCCTCACAGGAACTGTTCCGGTTAGTTATAGAGGTGGGTTAGAGAACTGCTTATAGTGTTATAGATAAAGGAAGCATTATAACATTCAGCCATGCATGCTTTTCCTGTTTCAGGGAATGTGTACAATATCCCCGTGTGCTTGTGGCTGCTGGATACGTATCCCTACAATCCTCCGATATGTTTTGTGAAGCCCACCAGTGCAATGATGATCAAGACCGGCAAACACATCGACGCCAACGGCAAGATCTACCTGCCATACCTGCACGAGTGGAAACATGTACGACTCAGGATTATTACGTTCTAGTATCAAGATTTTTCCTCATACCTCATAGAATAAAAAGATAATGTTTTATGCTCTTTTCTTTCCTCCTGGCCCGTCAGCCTCAGTCCGATCTGTACGGGCTCATCCAGGTCATGATTGTGGTGTTTGGAGAGGAGCCGCCCGTTTTCTCCAGACCCACCACACAACCTCCTTACCAGGCCTTCCAAGCAGCCGGACCCCCGAACCGTAAGCACGGCTTCATCACAGTACAACTGACAAGACGTTTCCATGAGATATGGACAGTTTAAAATGAGAATGTCAAAATAAGAAATTATAGTATTTTAATAAAGAAAATGAAGCGTGCTTTTAGCATCAAGATTGTTTTGCAGAATTTCTAATTTCTGTTATTGTAATGATAAATTAAAAAGTACATTTGTAACATACAATTGTATGTATACATCAGTGTTATTTTTGAATTACTTGTATAATGTTATAGTATTTATTTATATTTTTATATTTTAGTTTATTTTTATATTTTCAGTTTTCATTTTCATTTTACTTTAAAATTTTAGTAATTTTTGTATGGCTTTAGTCATCGTTTTTATATTTCAACTTCGCTTTCATTTATTTTATTTCAGTTTTCGTTTGTACTTAGTTTGTAATTCTGTTTAGTTAGTTTGAACTTAAAATTATTTCATTTAGATTCAGTTAAATTGAGAAATTAACATTTTTGTTTCAACTTAATTTTTTTTCAATATTTTTATTTTGTCTATTTCAGTTTACTGAAATTAACTGTAATACTTTAGTTAATAACAACACTGTTATATATGGTATTATATGTAATGTCAGTGCAAAAATCTTAATACTAAAAATAGACTTAATTTTTTACTTTTTACATTTTAAATTTTTTTTGAAAGAAAACTTAATTGCTTATTTTCTCTTTTGGTTTTGGCAGTTGGACAGAGACATTTCTTGACATGGAGAGACTGTATGTCCTTATAGGCTGCATTGTTGTAAAACATAGAAACTTGAATCTGTTATGAGGATGTTATGTCCACATATTTTGGGCACTGAAAATTTTGACTTTCATGTGACTTAATTTTTTATCTCAGATTACTCCTATATTAAATAAGCTTTTCATGATCAATTAACCATTCCCAATTTTCAAAGTAATACCTGCTTTAAACAGCAGATGTCTCCCTGCACCAGTAGATAATTTAGAAGTGTTTGTTTTGTGTCCTGCTCCTCCTTCCAGAGTCCTATATGTCAGGAATGCCAGCAGTATCTCCTTACGGGCCACACCCAAACCCCTGGTAATGGCTCCTTCAGTCTGACCAAAGATCACATGCAACAGTCTGATCAACATTTGATAAACCTGTTAAAGTCATTTGTATTATTTCCAGCACTCATGATATGAAAACACTTTGTATAAAAAACTGTGTTGTAATTACAGAGCATGATTAATTGGTTATGTAATGATTTGTGTCCGCTCCAGTGGTTACCCAGGTTACCCTTACCCAGGAGGCAATGCTTATCCTGCCACAGGCGGTCCAGCACATTACACTTCCCAGACTCCCGTCACTACTGCGGGTGAGTTGGCATGTTTGCCTTTGGCTTAGTTTTTAGTTGCACTACATCATATACAATTATACTGAAAATCGCAGTAATCCTGCAATAAGCAATGTGGATTCCATTTTCAGTCCCAGGTTGTAGGCCCGAGAGCTCATTTTTCAGGTTTGTTCTTAGTCCTCTTTCCATCTGAATTGACCAAATTTAATCTGCATCTGTATGGATGTGAATTTGCAATGTTCTGTCTAAATCTGAGTCTGAGTTATTTTGAAGTGGCAACACTGAGTATGAAAAAGGGCAGTACTCCGTTTGAATCAGAGTCACTAAATATGAACCTGGGTTAATCTGAATCAGCTGAACTGAAGTGGATTCTGAATTCATTTGAACTGGCAACGTTCAGTCAGTTGATCTGAATCAGCAATACTGAATCTGAGTCACAGTTAAACTAAACTGCTAGAATTTATTTTGAATTTGAATTAATTTAAATTGGCAACAATTCAAGTTGATCTAAATTGACTGCATTCAGTATGAGTATGAGTTAATCTAAATTAACAAACATTATGTCTTAATGTAAGTTAATCTGAATTGATAACACTGAATCGGAATCAGAGCAATTGTTAGCATTCAGTTTGAATCTGAATTCATTTGATTTTGCAACATTCAATCTGAACCTGATTTAATCTATATTTGTAGCATTTACTCTGAATTTATATTAGGCAAGGCAAGTTTTTTTATATAACACATTTCATACACAATGGTAATTCAAAGTGCTTTACATAAAAGGAAGTAAAATAATCATCAAAAAATAATCACAACAATAAAACAAGGAATTTAAATACTTTTAAAATTATTTTACAAAATGTATTTAAAATGAATTTAAAACAGTTAAAAATAGAAAATGATTATACATAAAATACAGTGCAATCAGTTCGGACGTAGCACAGTGCTCATTCAGTAAATGCACAGCTAAACAGAGTTTTGAGTCTGGATTTAAATGTGACTAATGTTTTAGCACATCTGATCTCTTCTGGAAGCTGGTTCCAGCTGCTCTAAGGTCTAGTAGTACCAGCACTGATATTTTGCCTAAATCAGAATTAAAGCGAATATCATTTATTATCCCAGTGAGCGCTGTCTGCGTTCGGAAACCAGATTGAAAATTGTCCAGGTATCCATTTGAGTTTAAGTAGTTGTTCAGCTGATTAAAAACTACCTTTTCAATAATCTTGCCTATAAAAGGAAGATTTGATATTGGTCTATAGTTGCTCAATATGGTGTTATCAAGATTGCTCTTTTTCAGAAGGGGTTTAACAACTGCAGTTTTCACGGAGTCTGGAAAAGTCCCAGAAAGAAGTGAGGCGTTCACCACTTCTAAGAGATCTGCTTCCAAACAGTTAAGCACCCTTTTGAAAAAATATGTGGGAAGTGTGTCAAGATAGCAGGTTGACGATTTAAGGTGCTGTACTATTTCTTCCAAAATTTTGCTATCAATTTCTTCAAAAGCAGACATAGTATCTTCTTTTTGATATTGTGGTTGAATCTGTCTAACCTCTGCATAACTTGGGGATGTGCTAATCGCCTTCCTGATATTATTGATCTTCTCAGAAAAGAAGGAAGCAAACTCATTGCATTTGCTGTCGGAGAGCATTTCACTGGCAATCTGACTTGGGGGGTTTGTCAGTCTCTCAACAGTAGCAAAAAGAGTGCGAGTGTTGTTTAAGTTACTGTTTATAAGGTTTGAGAAGAATGACTGTCTAGCTTTGCCTAGTTCCACATTGAAAGCACGAAGGCTATCTTTATATATGCTATAGTGGATTTCAAGTTTCGTCTTCCGCCACATCCGTTCTGCTTTTCTGCATTGTCTTTTCATACTCTGAACTGCTGTTGATTTTCTCCAGGGTGCTTTTTGTCTGCCAGTCTTCTTGCTGACTTTCACGGGAGCAATATCATCAATAGCATTCTTAACTTTAGAGTTAAATGAATCAAAGAGAAGATCAACAGAGTCTGCAGAAATGCTTGGTGTTAAAGATATAGCCTCCATAAATAGCACACTAGTGTTTTCGTTAATGCATCTCTTTCCGACAGAGACAGATCTAGATTCAGTGGTAGCAGAGATCAAAATATCAAAGAAAATACAGAAGTGATCAGATAGTGCTATATCCTTAATAACAATGGATGAAATGTTTAGACCTCTCCTCTACTGATAAGTTAATCTGTGTGTCCACGATTGTGTGTAGGTTCATGCACATGCTGAATCAGGTCAAAAGTGTTTAAAACAGTTATAATTTCTTTTGTAGTTTTGATTTCTGCATTATCTATGTGAATATTAAAATCCCCTGCAATAGCAAAACAGACACACTCTGAGGAAATCGTTGATAACAGTTCTGTGAACTCTTCAGCAAAGGCTGGAGAGTATTTTGGAGGCCTGTAAATAATGATAAACAGAATGCGTGGAGCACCTTTCAACACAATCCCTAGATATTCAAAAGACAAGTACTGACCAAATGACACTTGCTTGCATTGATAGACATCTTTAAATAGAGCAGCTACACCTCCACCTCTCCTAACAGTCCTGCAAACACTCATGAAAGTAAAGTTAGGAGGGGCTGATTCATTGAGGACTGTTGCACTGCAGCTGTCTTCTAGCCATGTTTCATTTAGAAACATAAAATCCAGGTTGTTTGTGGTTATTAAGTCATTGATTAGAAATGATTTATTTTTTAGTGAGCGAATGTTTAAAAATGCTAACTTGATGGCATTGCATTTTGTCTCAACAGCAATATTAGTTTGATGCATAACAGGCCGCAGATTAGATAAGTCAGCCGTACGGCTTAAGAAGGCCTTAGACTTTCTATCACGTGATAAAACAGAAATAGAGAAAACTACAGGCAAGCTGTCTTCTAGCCATATTTCATTTAGAAACATAAAATCCAGGTTGTTTGTGGTTATTAAGTCATTGATCAGAAATGATTTATATTTTAGTGAGCGAATGTTTAAAAATGTTAACTTGATGGCATTACTTTTTGTCTCTACACCAATCTTAGTTTGATGCATAATAATATTATAATATTAGTAACATTCATTCTGAATCTGAGTTGATCTGAACTGGCAACACTGAATGAAAATCAGAGCTGAACTGAAATGGTAGCATTCAGTTTGAGTCTGAATTCATTTGAATTAGCAACATTCAATCTGAACCAGAGGACATCTAAATGTGTAGTATTTAATCTGAATTTATATTAGCAGCATTCAATCTGAATCTGAGATGATCTAAATGTGTAGTATTTAATCTGAATTTAAATTAGCAGCATTCAATCTGAATCCGAGTTCATCTAAATTTGCTGCATTCAATATGAATATAAGTTCATCTTAATTAGCAACATTCTGTCTGTATCTGAGCTGATCTGAATTGGCAGCACTTAATTTGAATCAGGTGAATTGAAATGGTAGCATTCAGTTTTAATCTGAATTCATTTGAACTGGTAACATTCAATCTGTTAATGTGAATTTGTATCATTTGGCAATGGCAGCTCTGAATCAGCTGAACTGAAATGGTAGAATTCAGTTTGAATCTGAATTAATTTGAATTGGCAAATTTCAGTCTGAATCTGAGTTAATCTAAATTTGATGCATTCAGTATGACTATGACTCAGTCTTAATTAGCAACATTATGTCTAAATCTGAGTTGATCTAAATTGGCAACACTGAATTTGAATCCGAGCTGAACTGAATTAGTAGCATTCAGTGTGAAACTGAATTCACTTGAATTAGCAACATTCATTCTGAATCTGTGTTAATCTGAATTAACAAACATTATGTCTGAATTATCAATACTGAAGCATTCAGTTTGAATCTGAATTAATTAGAATTGGTAACATTTATTCTGAATTTGGGTTAATGTGAATTGGTAGCCTTTACTCTGAATTGGCATCTTTTGTTATGAATATGAGTTACTCTGGATTAACAACATTCTGTCTGAATTGGAGTTAATCTGATTTGGTAACACGTACAGAATGCTTATACTATATTCAGTCAGTCTTTAACTACACTTTCACTCAGTTGTCGAGTGTATCGCAGTCTTGAGAGTCTAGATCTAAAATAAGAAAGCATATTGGACAAGACACAGATGACACGACACGTCTGTTAATGTCAGACTCATAAAAGCTCACTCTTCAGCACGCTTCACCCTTCATATTTACTCCACCCGTCTGTCTCTGCTCTGTCGTGACCCTGACCTCTGGTCTTCAGCCTGGCCGTGTGCCTGCTTTACAGTGACTTCGTTGGACTGCTCTGAAAGGTTGGGTCTGTAACTAGATTCTGAGCTGCTAAAGGTCAAAGGACTTCATCCAGTTCATCCCATTTGACAGAGAGGGAGCTGGGTATATTTAGAGTGGCAGGAGAGGGAAGAGGATCTCAGTCCTCAGAGACCTTTCATCATTAGGAGAAGCCCTGCGGAGAGGAGTCATCGACCTGGAGGTCTTCCTCAAGGTCAGTTCGTCCCTCTACAATGCAAGTTTTGGCACAAACTTGGCATTTATTCTACTATTCTTAGTAATGTTATGTTTGACATCCCCGTTCGTCCACAGCATGTGCGTCTGCTGTCCCGCAAGCAGTTCCAGCTGCGAGCGCTCATGCAGAAAGCGCGAAAGACGGCCGGACTCAGTGACCTCTACTGACCCTGCGCTCCAGCTCTGATCGCACGTGCCAGACTCGGATCTAGTCGCTCTGTGGTACGTCAGTGGGAGTTCAGCTGTTTATGATCTTTTACTTCTGTGAGAGTTTTAGCTTCTGTACCTGACTTTATTTTCTCGATTTGGAAAAGGCAAAATGGGTACGATATTTGAACGCTAAGACCGGAGCATTAGAAGTAAATGAGACGTCGTAGACTTTGTTCCTTCTTTCATTTGAGCTTCTCGTGTTAAACTGGCAGGCGTTTGGCTCTTTGGCTTTAGATACTACTGTTATTAACCGTACTGAGTGATAACTTTTAAACTGTGAAGTGTATGAGGAAATTGCTCTCAGATGTGGATAGCAACTCCTGTTTTCATTCAGGCAAGTTTCAAAGTGTTGTCATACTCCATAACTATGTGAATCTCACAGGAACATCCACCTCAAAATAAATAAAATATATATTTTCTGCAGAAAAAATGTAGGACTATTAAGATTTTTTACATTGTGTAAAATATTAAGTATATTTAAGTAAAAATTTGGGGAAAATAGGTACATTTACTCTTGAAATTTCTCATTAAAGTAATAGGGAAAAAAGTCAATACTGTAATACAGTAATAAAAATAATCTAGTCCGAACATTTTGGATTATTTTTTTTTTTATATTAAAACCAGCATAGGTCAGATATTTTAAATATATTTTATAATAAAATTTTTCTTTACAATGAGAATTTGAGGGAAAATGTGCTTTATCACGATGCAAAAAAAAAATCTTTATGCAAGTTTTCTTTATGCAAAATATTACTAATTCCCTTCTTTTGATTTTGGGGTGAAATATGTAATTTCTTGATAGTTTCTGCGAGATTCACCCAATTTATGGAGAACAGTGACGACTTTTGGTTCCATATTTCAATTTTATGACATTTATTTTGCGGAATTTATTATTTATCTCATTGCAATTGGGAACTATTGCTGTTACAGATTTATTGGTATGTTGTTACACAAAGTTTGGTTTGTGACTAATAATGTTTGAAAACTGAAAAGCTATAAAATGTTGTACTGTACTTTAATATAATTTTGATTTTTTTTACTTTTTATTCTTCCAAATGTTTAAAAACAAATTAACAATTCTTACCCGTTGCATTTCAGTCAGTTGTTTTAATGCACTTTTGGGATGTGAATGAGATTTTTAAGACTTGAGTTGCTGTTTCTTAGTGAGACTTTACCCCCTTATCTGCTAATATTTGTTCTTATTTGTACCAGGCTGTAGATTATGATGTCGGGCAGATCAATAAAAGAACATGATCTTGAATCATGATAGATTTGTGAATGGTCAGCACCTTGCATCATGTTTTCACATCAAGTGTGCGTAATAAATAATTGGCCGGTGCCACTGATTTATTACTTTACTTGTATTTTGACCTTGAGGTATTGAACTCTAGACGGGCCTGATATTGATGCCATATAACTACCTGCACCTGGAATGCTCTAGTAAACTCTTGACACAGATTTTAGACAACATGGTCCACTAACCTAGTTTGTTTCTGTACAGCTGTTATTTCTATTCAGCCTGCAGAACAAAGAGACAGAAGCTTTTGTAGTTAGTCACAATGTTTATTCAGTCGTGGGCTGTGTGTGTCTCAATTCTACAGTCACACGCTTCAAGTAACAGCTTTAACCGTCGCTGTGTATCACCACACGGCTGGGAGTGTGTCGTTGCTCTTATGAACCAACACTGACAGAAATAAAAATACATTGACAACAGCATTTTGTTTCCAGCTGATACATAAGGTGTACACCTACACAAATTACAAGTAGATGGATTATCTAAAACTATCAACACCTCAACATGCTTTTGTGTTATACTATAATTTACAATGAAGTTGAGAACAAATTAAGCCATTGTAAAAGGTTTTATGCCAAGATATTTATGTAAAAGTGCTTTTTCCGGTAGACAATCAGTGCATTTGTGGTTGACTTTCAGTACAAAGTCACGCAAAGTCATTAACTTGGGTTATTGAGTGCGTTTACATGCACAATCAAGCAATGTTTATAATGTTAAAATGTCTTAAACGGTGTTCTGCTCATGAAGTCAATTTCTCTTTGCATGTAAACGGTTATTTGTATTCGGTCATGTTATTAAATGGACCATATAAATCATTCGTAAAGCCCTTCTTATGCAAATTGTTGCATTCAAATAAAAATTAACTCGCATGGTGTAACAATTCAAAATTGATTGTAAAACTAATCGAAGGTAAACCATTGCATTCCATTTCAAGGCGACAAATCATTTGTTAAACCATTCTTACCCATTTCATTTCATGTAGAAATTCGAAATCGTTCGTAAAATCATTCTAAGGTAAAACCATTGCATATAAATTCAGCGTAACAATTCAAAATAGTTCATAAAACCGTTTGTGTTAGTTGTCAAATTTAATGCAACAACTGAAAATGTAGAACAGTTCCAAGTTAAAATGTTGCATCAAATTCAATGCAACAATTCAAAATCATTCGTTAAACCATTGAGTTACCCGTTGCACTTAATGTAGAAATTTGAAATTGTTCGTAAAACCACGCGAAGGTAAAACCATTGCATTAAATTTAACATGACAATTCAAAACGGTTCATAAAACAAACCTTTTAAAACCGTTCCAAGTTAAATTGTTGGAACAAATTCTATGCAACAGTTTAAAACTATTTGTTAAACCATTCTTGCGTTAATTGTAGCATTTAAATGTAGAAATTCAAAATTGAATGTAAAACAATTCTAGGATAAATCATTGCAATCATCTCAATGTGAAAAGTTACACAAGTTGTACTACCAATTTACAGATTTTTGTTCTGCTTGTTTAACAAATAAGGACTATTGTGCACATTTCTTTTTTATATTTTGATGTCAACCCTGCCAAAAAAATTTAATAGCTCACAAAAAACACGATTTTCCAGCATTGGTAGTTTTCTGAGCTGATTTTTTTATGTATATAATTTTATTGTACATGTAAACACCATGATATTTCATAAAACTTATACTTTGTAGCTTTGGTTTTACGTGTTGGTCTTGTTGAAATGATCAATTGCGTGATGCAGGACACAAGTACGGAATGCTAGTTGACCTCAGAATGGAATAAAATAAGAGACTCAAATTGCACATCACCTTGTTCACAAGTGCTTCTTTGTTGAATATACAATAGTACGCACAGACACAAACTTTTACAAAGGCTGATGATCTTTGTCAAGACAACAGGAATAAACCATTTCTCCTCTGCAGTTAAAATAAGGAGCGTTACAATCTGAAGGTCTGAGACGCGTGGAGATATCCGATGGTTAAAGGCAATGAGATTTATGAGGTCAGGAGAAAGATAGGCAGGACTCGTCAAGGTTTGTAATTTGTGACACTAGCTACATTTGGGAGGAGACCGCGGTTCACAGGGTCAGCTCCTTCTGAACGCCCCACAGGGTCTCAGCGCTCTTCACCAGCTGTTTCTCCTCTTCTGGCTTGAGGGTCATGTGGACAACATCTGTCAGGCCGCTGTTACCCAGGATGCAAGGCACGCTGAGGAAGACCTCTTCATTCACACCATGCATTCCCTGTGAATACGCAACAAGTGTCAGATAATTGTCCTTTGTAGCACGGTTCCAAAACTTAGCAGGCTAATCACCGAACCAACAATTTTAGATATCATAGGCTGTTCCGAATGAAATTCTGCCTTATTAGATAGATAGTCATTTTAGCCTAACCTAAAGTAGCGTCGTATGTACATTTTGAATATAATTCAATTCCAGAATGCACTGCGACAAACTCAGAGAAGCGTTTCATCCAAAATAGCGGACAATCTGAAGGTCTTATGCATTTTATGTCATGAGCGCTAATTGTGCCACTTGTTGCTATCCATGAAGAGTTGTTCAGAGTTGTTATTCGTACGCAAGATGGATAAATCCAATTAAAACCCAATATGTGTGTGTGCTTGTGCTTTGTTAGCTTAGGAACATGCTAACGCAAGATGTACTGGAACCTACTATGAATGTCGATCAAGTCTTATGCTCTTTGCATGATGAGTGCTATTTGTGGCACACAAAGAGTTGTTCAGATCAGGTACTCGGTACATAAGATTGTTAGCTTAGCAACATGCTAACATAAGATCCAACTGTTAAGATACTGGAACCATCTGTGAACATTAATCAGTTCTTCTGTGTGCTTTAAGTTTGCGTTGCATAGGAGTTTGTCCACGAAGAGCTTCTCAATCCCTCACTTGGACTTGGACCAGGATGTTGCCATAAAAGGTAGCTGCCTATGTAGTCATTAGATGGCGGTTTGTAATGGAGTTTATCATTATATATATACACACACACACGTATTTATGTTCTCGGTACTAGAAAAATGGTTCACAATATTTGGTTAATGAAGATTGCTGGTCACGCAGAAATAAACAAGAGAATCTCACCTTGACCAAGGTTGAAACTGGATGACACTTGCGTAGGTTCTTCAAGATGCTCTCACACAGGTCAGCTACAGACATACCTATAGCCCAGGAAGTGTAGCCCTTCAGCTTAATAACCTCATATGCACTGCCAATACAAACCAGATTTATGTTAAACACAGATAAACAACCATGAGTCCAGACTAAATGCATTCACACAAGGACTTGATTTATATGCTTTCTAATGGCAACACAGAGTACACATTAGAGATCATATACAGTGGGTACGGAAAGTATTCAGACCCCCTTAAATTTTTCACTCTTTGTTATATTGCAGCCATTTGCTAAAATGAAAAATGACGGGGCCTCTCTCCCTAAAATCTTTCTATACGTCGTCCTGAGACTATTATTAGTGTACTAAACCACTGTATGGAAGTCTAGTGGGTTACAAATTATTCACCTGTCAACCACCATCTTGTGGACGCTCTTCCAGTCCTCCTTGTCTTTATCTGTTCCCATGTCAGGGTTCAGACCCTGGAGGGACACTCCAGCCACATTGACTCCGCTCCACACAGGAACTACAAAAGAAAGAGGACGTTTACATTTTATGAAGAAAATGATTGTTCATTGTGCTCCTGAAGCACATCTGTGCTCCCAATCATCTTTGCAGTCCTCACCGCTGGAGTCTCCATGTTCTCCAATAACCCAACCATGGCAGCTAGATGGGTGAATGCCCAGTTTCTCTCCCATCAGGTAACGGAAACGAGCAGAGTCCAGGTTTGTGCCGCTGCCGATCACACGGTTCCTGGGCAAACCGCTCAGCTTCCAGGCCACGTAGGTCAAGATGTCAACTGAAGAGAAGACGACATTGGTTTACGGTCTCGGAGGCTACATGACGTCAACTGAAACCTTTGAGCACAAAAGGACGTTCAGTCGTAATGTCAACCCAGGTATGACATACCTGGGTTTGAGACCACCAGAAGGATGCAGTTGGGGCTGTACTTCATGATGTTGGGGATGATGAACTTGAAGATGTTGACGTTCCTCTGGACGAGGTTCAGGCGGCTCTCGCCCTCCTGCTGACGGGCTCCAGCGGTCACAACGACCACTTTGGAGTTGGCAGTCACACTGTAGTCTGGAAATCACATGGAATGATCAATTTTGGAAAGATCCCACGTTCCCTTGGTTCCTGTCAAACACTCTCTCAAGGCCTGTTCAGACCAAGCTTAAGTAGATCGTAGAAACCACTGGCACCATTGGTCTCTATGATTCGATTATGCTTACAATGTTTTTGGAAAATGCACCCCAAGACTAAATAGTTGCACATTTGTTTTGAGCGGGGTGTCCAATTCGGTTTCTGGAGAAGTACCTCCCTGCAAAAAGTTCAGCTCCATCCCTGATCAAACACAACTGAACAAGCTAAGGAGATCTTCAGGAGCACTTGATAATTACGGAAAGGTGTATTGGATCAGGGTTGGAGCTGAACTCTGCAAGTAGGTTGATCTCCAGGAACAAGGATTGGTCACCCCTGGTTTAGAGACTAGGTTTTCAACCCTGCTCCTGGTGACCCACTGTCCTGTAAAGTTTTTCCAAGCTGCTTCAGCTCACCTAGCCTGTGATTTTCAAGCAATCCTGAAGACCGTGATTAGCTGGTTCAGGTGTTTGATTAGGGTTGGAGCTAAACTCTGCTGGACAGTTGGTCCCAGGAGCAGAGTTGAAGACCTAGGTTTAGACTTCATACAAGAACTCCTACAGACCAGTTTACACTGGCAAAAAATGATTTTTTTTCTGTAATGAAAGGTTGTGGTTTTTAACAAATTGTTGGATCTTTTCTTTCTTCACTTGGAACGAAAAAGAACAAGACGACAATAAGATTTAAGCTTCATTGTACAACAGGATATGAGTGCTTTTTTGTCTTGCTCCTAGTCTGAATAGACCTTTCACCTGCAAGGTTTCATTTTGTTCTTGGTGTGAATAGACATTTATAGTACAGTGGCTTCAAAATTATTTCTCAAGTTAATAAAATTTAAGTTAAGGCAGGGGTGTCAAACTCCGTTCCTGGAGGGCCGCAGCCCTGCAGAGTTTAGTCCCAACCTGCTCAACCCTAACACACAAACCATGTAGTTTTCAAATAAGCCTGAATGACTTGATTAGCTGGATCTGGGGTCTGTTTCATAAAACAAGTTTACCAAATAAGCCAGGTTTATTTCAGTTAGTCTGACTTATTGTCACTTGAGTTAGTTCAAAATAAGTCAGACTAACTGAAATAAGCCTGGCTTATTTGGTAAACTTGTTTTATGAAACATGCCCCAGGTGTGTTTAATTAGGGTTGGAGCTAAACTCTGCAGGGCTGTGGCCCTCCAGGAATTGAGTTTGACACCCCTCTGTTAAAACAATTGGAACCAACTGTGAACGTTAATCATGTCTTTTATGCATTTCACGTCATGAGCGCTTGTGGGAGCTGCTGTGCATAAAAAGTTGTTCAAATTAGTTATTCTGTATATAAGAGATCAATCCAATTAAAACTGCACCCAATATTTGTGCATTTGCACTTTGTTAGCTTAGCAACATGCCAACATAGGATCTACTGGAACCGACTGTGAACGTTAATCACGTCTTTTATGCGGTTTGCGTGATGAGCATAAGTTGAGTGTCTATCCTATATTTTGCATTGCGTTCCGCACCGTTGGCACTACAGACCATCAGCGGCGGCCTTTTAGACGACTGAGCATGTTACATTGACGGCAAAACTTGTTGCTGAGAGAGATCACTGTGATTGGCCGTTCAGTTTAGCGAACCATTATACGAGAAGAAAAACTAAGTAACAAAAGTCAAGAGCTCTTCTTATTTATGGTTTGATAATGGTATGCAAGTGCAACTTTGTTTAAGGTCTTAAGTCTTCCGGTTTCCCTTGTTAAATGATGAATACAAACTACTGCCACCTGCTGGCATGGAGTTATTTTCTCTCGCAGGCACAGAACATGCATGCTAGTTGGCCGTAGGCCGTAGACTTTGCAGTGTGTTCAAACGCAACTTTTTAGACCAGATGCTACCACGTTGATCGGTCTGGGCATTTAGGGGGATATTGATTCTTCTAGCTCACAGAAAACTGGCAAGTTATTCATCACTTTTGTTAATTTTTTTTTCCTTTTCAAAACATTTTATATAACGGATTAAGATGCAGTTCCCTTTTAAATAACGGAATGCTGCTTTTAATTATTTATTTTTACACAGTCAACAATTTAGTAATTCCATTACATAAATACTAATCATTTTGAATCTAGGTTACCTCACTGGTACATTTTATCACCACATCAGCACTAATCAAACCGTCTGCTCCTTATCATCAACCATAAATTAACTCCCCCCACCACCCCCTCACATTTTCTTTTAATGGTAGATTTTGAAATCTGACCTTTATCCGCCACTATCTTGTGCGTCTTGAGAAAGAGGCTTCCATGCTGCAGGTCCATAGCCTCTCCTTTCAGCTTATCTTCAATCACGTCCACTAGGGCGAGTTCATCCGTCAGATCCTGCACAAACACATGCATTGACTTCAACACTCCTCTACTGAGAATACACTCCTATCCACCTCTTAATGGCCAGCAGACAGTGGTGAATGTTGAATTTGGGGTTTAGTTTTATTACCTGTTCAATTCAAAGTAAAACTGAAGTTACACTATATTTCTTATATATGGCATTGTAGGTTTAGCAATTGCATTTCACACCAATGGAAGAATGCAGAGAGCTGAAGTGTGATGCAAACTCTAGTCTCCAGATATGGGGATCATGTTTATTCTCGGTGGAGGTTCAAGGCCTTCCTTCTCATTCAGAAATCGCTCTACGTTCAAAGGTCAGGAAAGCTTTCAAAGCCGGTGTTATTTCCTTGAGCCACAGCAGCTTTACCCAAAGTGAGAATTCAGGAGAAAAACACGATAGTTCAAGGAAGATACAGGAATCAATGTTTTCATTCCATATATTTTTTTGTTGTTTAGAGGTTATGGGAACAACTGGACACATGGCATTTCATTTCATTTGGACCTACACAATTAACAACTTACCAGTTGTTAATTTTATTAAAATCAGAGAAATTGTTGGAGTAGTAGTAGTAGTAGTAGAAGTAGTAGTATATTTTTATTTAATGCCATGTCAGCATCTTGGGCTATTTTCATGGCAAAAACAATTTAAAAAAATACAAGTATAACAAATGCAATAAAAACCAGCAAACAAACAAGTTATATTATACAAGATTTTTTACATTAACAAATTTTAATATAAGTGATACAAGATTAATATAGTCATATTAATGAAATTGTCTTTTTCCTCATTTTCACCACGTTTCTTTATAGAAACAGTAAAGATAGACAGGACATGTTGGGAGCCAGATTCAACCCCACACTGCTTACAACAGAATCGTGGTTCACTGAGCATCTGTAGTAACCACAAGGCACATTTCTGTCCTTTGTTACAACAATGAAAATTGTGTCATTTAGATCATTTAAAAAGTCTAATTCTAATCCATTTATTTTAATTAATTAATTTCTCAATTGATTTTAAAATAAATGTCATTTAGGTCATTTAACAGGTCTAATTTTATTCAGTTTATTTTAAAATCAATTATTATTCTTTTTTCAATTCATTTTAAAAATAAATCTGTAACTTGGATAATTTAAAAAGGTTACTTAAATTTTAAAAAATCTATTATTAATACCTCAATTCTATAATAATTCCCCAAATTGTTTTAAATAAAAAATTACAATTAAATTAAAGCAATAAGCCCCGTGAAGCCGTGGTTTACAGTGAATTTATAACAGCTAAGGGGAGTTGTTAGATGTGAAGCGGAGTGCCTAAATCCCCCTTAGCTGTTATAAATCCACTGTAAACCACGGCTTCACGGGGCTTATTGCTTTTATAAAACGGTTATTCCAT